CTTTTTAATAGACTGCTAGTTTCATTAGACCCTCTGATTACTAGCTCGCACTTGTTGCAAGTGCTCACCAACCGTAGATCTTTCTTTGCTGAAGCAATGGAGTTAGTAGAACTTGAAGCGAATTATTTTAGTTTAACGGGGCTTGGATGGGATTAAGATTCCGACTGTGAGGAGTACGTGTAACAGTTTTCATTATATGGTGCTTATCATAACTATAAGACACCCACATATTGACAAGTTAGGATTATTTTTTTATTATCTGTCAGCCGCTGTGGTGTAGTGGTAAGCAATGCGCGCTTCCACTCCGCAACGCCTGGGTTCAAGCCCTGGTCAAAGCAACATCGCAAAAAAATATAGAAAAAAGGTTTTTTCTTAACAGCGGTCGTCCCTCGGCAGGCAATGGCAAACCTCCGAGTGTATTTCTGCCATGAAAAACAGCTTGTCATAAAAATACAATCGCCGTTCGGAGTCGGCGTAAAACTGCAGGTCCTTCCGCTTTGTGTAACAACATCAAGGCGCACGCCACAAATCGGAGGAGAAGCTCGGCCAAACACTAACATATGTGTAAGCGCCAATCTATTATTATTATTAATTTTAATTATTTTTTTTACAAAAATATAGTTTATTTCTTAACAAAAATCGAACAAATCTAAGTTTCAAACTTCGTACAAATATCGATGTTTTTAATTGGATATTTAAAAAGGATTTAGAGTGCAAGTTTGAAGTAGCTTGGACATACCGTTTATTTTTGGCAAGTTTTTTGGTGAAGGTGTCGCTCATTTTCTCCATATAAAAAAATCGTCGAACAGACTTCGTATGTTCATACTACGTAAATCTTAGCTACTTCAAACTTGCACTTTAATGTACTACAATTAAATGGGTTACAAAACTGCGTGCTCAAAATCCTTTTAAAAGTGCTTATCGTAACTATAAGACACCCACATATTCAAAAGTTTTGACTACTTATTTTATTAACCGACCTCAAAAAAAGGAGGAGGTTATCAGTTCGTCGGACTTTTTTTTATGTATGTTAACTTTGGACTACGTTAACCGATTTCGATATCTATTTTTTCATCGGAAAGGGTGGTCCCATACTAATTTTGTTTAGATTCGATAATTGGAACGTGAAGAAATTAACAATGATCTTAAATTTTTATATGTGAATTGAAGTTGGTTTTGTTTTTTGTTTAAAAATTACTTGTTTTTATTTTATTGTGATTAGTTTTTTTTTATAAAAATATAGCTGATTTTTTAATTAATTAGTGCTTTGAATTAGATACATTACTTTCTTCTCGATATTTTGTATGCTTAATTTGTTAATCTCTTTAAATTTAAAACATAGGAGGAATATTCATAGTCGAATCAAAGACGAAACTAACAATAATTTTGACTTTTTTGATAAATTTTTCTAAAAAAGTGTTTTCAAAGAGCTGACATTATTTTTACTTTCAACTTTTGTTTTGACCATGTATTTATCCTTTTATGTTTTACATTGAAACGTAAATTTTTGTATCTAGTATTTCCTATCTTTTACTATCTAATTGATCTCTATATAAATGACTTCACCTGTTCCATGTTCTTTCCTAGTAATTACAACAAATACACACTTTGTTACTGTTGTTACATTTTATCGTTTTTTAACTTAGTTTTAAGTATTGCGAATTCATTGATTAAGCCATCCTCAAATCGATAGGACTCGTTCTTCCTGATTATATTGTAACCTAAACTTACATATTTTTAATAAAATTAGCTGGGGAAATACTAAACAATTCGCCACTAATGCGTTAAAATATGGTCATCTATGTTTTAAGTCAAAAACGTAAATGGGTTAAATTATTCATAATTTGCACAATAATAAAATCAAATTAACTTAACATAAGATTTTACAAAAAACTGGGTCACCAATGGGTTAATGCATGATCAATAATGGGTTAAGGCTCTAAAAATTTACTCTTCAAAAGTAGTTCAAGCGAGTCTAATGGAAAGAAAATGATTTCAGAATTTTGAGCACCCGCTTATATGGCGGCCCCAGTGTGGGTGTGTACGATTTTAACTTATTTTCGAAGAAATGTGTTTTCAATTTGAAATTAAATTTGTTTGAATGATTGTTAGAAATGTACGTTTACATACCTTTGGCTATAGCTGAGTTTGCAGTGGTGCTTGCTGTTACTGGGTAGATTCTAGACGGTCCCAAGATGTTAAAATGTTAACATAAATTTATGTTTTGTATTAAGTTAGGTTAGGTTAGAGTGGCTGCCCCGTTGTGATACCACTGGCCGAAGCCATTTGTTTCTTTCCCTCCCTTAGTAGTTGAACCACCGAGTGCGTTTTATATAGCACAAAAAGTAGAGAACGTTCGCCGAGTTCAAATCGGCTAAACAATCTACAAAGTACTTGTTGAAGAATTGGTTGCGCATTTTGGCCAGCACGGGACAATGGCAGAGATAGTGTTCGATGGTCTCCACCTCCACCTCCTCCTCGTCTCTGCAACTGCGACAGAAATCGTTGGTGAGGTATCATAACCTCTTTCCGTGTGTGCCCATCAGGCATTGTCCGGTGATTACCCCGACTACTAATCTGAGAGAGGAGCGGTCCAGCCGGGTGAGAGCTATGGATCGCTTTACATCAATCTTTGGCCATATTTGCCTGGTAATATGACAGGTGGTTTCCACAGCCCATCTCATACTTACCTCCTCAACGATTTTCGCCTTTAGTCTGTGTTTGCAGGAGGTTAGAGGTATCCCCGCATTCCGAGCAGAATTGACTACAGATATTTCCGTCCCCCTCCTTGCCAGCTCGTCGGCTAGGCAGTTGCCAGGGATGTCCCTGTGTCCCGGGACCCATACAACAGTCAAGGAGCGTTTTGATGCCAGCAGGTTGAGAGTCTTCCTGCATTCGATGGCTACTTTGGACGTTGCTTCGTTAGAATTGAGAGATTTGATAGCAGCCTGGCTGTCAGAATAGATAGAGATAGGGCGTCCTGGAGGGGCGGAGGTTATAAGCCACCGATCCGCCTCCATTATGGCGTTTGTTTTGTATCACCAAACGAACGAAAAAGCCGTCAAACACATATCTATGTAAAGTAAACAAGCCCCCGCCGCATCCCTTTTTCGATAGTCCCGAACTGGTTCTAAATTCGACAGACCAGATCATTTTGCGTCCCTTTTTTGACAGTTTCGAACCAGTTCTAAATTCGTCACCTTAGATATAGATTTATAAAAGTGAAATAAAATAGTTTTTTAAAATTTCCACATTTTCGCTGATTGGGATCTAGTTAGAATTGGACTGGTTCGTTTTTGACAATAAAGATCTAGTACGGAACTAGAAATTTGATTCACCTGTCCGCGGTTTCCCTGCAGGGTAATAAAATAAGGTTTGCACCGCGACCTAGTGGTCTATTGTGCCCTTTATATGGCGCCTATTATATAATTAACTAGACTGTAATAAAAATTATTAAACATTAAACTACCGAATAGAAAATAATCAAAACTGTGAAAGAAAGTATAGATACGAGCGTTATACTACATACCCTGTGGGGGAAATCTCTAGTTCTGAACTGGTGCGCTTCTAGTACATTTAGATCCACAACTGGTTCGTGATAAATCTCTTTTGCATGCAAACAACTGGCGAATTTAACATGGCGATGTCCTAGGAACTTTCAATTGCCCCCCGCTGCATCCCATTTTCGATAGTTCCGAACTACTCCTAAGTCCCTATAATTCCGCACCAGTTCTAAAATCGACAGACTTAAGAAAATAGCGTAATGTTTTTCCATCCTTTTGGTTCCTCCGTGTGTGCGATTTTAGAATCCAGATGATCCCAAGATGTTAAAATGTTACCACAAATTTTTGTTTTGTATTACCATGCTATGAAAAGCCCCTGAGAAGTGCAGAATGGAAGAGTATTTAAACAAAAAATCCGCCAAACACATATCTATGTAAAGTAAACAAGCCTCCCTTTGCCGATAGTTCAGAACTAGTTCTAAATTCGACATATAAGATTTAGTTCGTTCTGCATTCATTTTTATATAGTTTCGAACCAGTTCTAATATTGTCACCTTCGCTTTGGATTTATAATGAAAAAAGTGAAATAAAATAGTTTTTTAAAAGTATCCCATTTCGTTGATTTTGGACTGGTGGGGGTTTAGTTACTATAGGACTGGTTCGTTTTTGGCGATAAGATGCTGGGACGCAACTAAAAAAAATATTCACTAGTTCACGGTTTCCCTGCAGGGGTATTTAAAAACTTCCGTTAAAGTATGTATGTATGTAAATTTGTTGTGTACCGTTAAGTCATATGTACATACCCAGTGGGAATTAGGAGCACGTAATAATACCTTATTAGCAACTTACTCTTCACCTGGCAGTCATTACCATTTCCCTGCCGAACGTCCCTTACTTTTACAAAGGCATGGCCGCCTTATGTAAGTTGGAATTTAGAATGTACATTTGGTATCAGACATACTTCTGAGCCGCTTTACAAAGTAAGTTACGTGTAATGCAGAGCAGTCGCTCGGAGTAGTTCGGTGCTTGGAAATAACTTCGGCTGCACGTTATTTTGCAACTGACAACGTAATGTGTCTTCGGAGGTGTTCATTTTGCCCTTTACTAGTAGATGACATTGGCCATGATGACAATTTTGGTACTAAAAACTGAAAGAAAACATGGCTTACCTCGCAAGGTGCTTGCCTATTTTCCCAGTGGGTAGTATGTATGCACATATACACAAGACACATAGACATGTACATATGTATGTATATTCCGGTTAGATAAATACTTCGATGGATATTATAATACTTTCATTCGATATATGTATGTATTTATGTACATATTACTTGTACGATGTAATAATTGTTTGATATTACTTACCTGAAATTTGGCTCTCATTAACAAAAAATTCTGAAAAAAAGTATGTCCGACTTAACCAAATTCATTGATGTTTATTTCTAAGGGTCAGTTCTTCAGTGCACGGCCGTGGTTTAAATTAAGTTTAAACGCCCGATCTGGCTGGTTTAAACTAAGATCAGCCAGCTGTTCAATTTAAACTCAGTTTAAACTGGCAAGGAAAAACTGGCCGTATGTGACTGCAAGTACCAATTTTTTTCCATTTGAATGGCGCAAAACGTGTTAACATTTGTGTATCTCTCAGATACTTTTCCAAAACAGTTTGAACAAGCAGAACTGCGACAACACCACAGTCCCAATTACCAGCTGTCATTTTTATTCCAGCAGGTAACTGTTGCTATCTCTTTCACACCACCATCTTTCTTTCGTGACTATTTTATAAATATCTCATACTGGTGCTATGTATCTCAGGATTCCAGCAAAAAGAGTGTATCCACAAGTGTGCAAACTGTTTTGTTGATTGAAAAGTTTTACGGGTAACAAGCGGCGGAAAATCTAGCCGGAGCGCAACGAAGAACGACTTCGAGCTGACGCAGAATTGAGCAGAGGCAAGAAAATCTCAGTTGTTTCGGGAAATTGAAAGCGGTCGCTTGTGTTCAGTCGCAAAGTGTACGGTTTTTGTGCGAAAGAAAGGTTTTGATACGACGACGAAGCCGAGTTTTAACTGGCACGTAGACGAAGACGACGACGGCGGTGGTAAACGGAGGGCAAGCGCCTGGCGTATGTGAGAAGCGGTGTCAAAGAAGACTAAAAATATAAATAACAATAAAACGAAAGGAAGGTGATGTAGAGGAGGAAATAAGAAGAGTCGTAGTGGACGGACACAGCCTCTTTTAACGCACGCGTGTGTATATGTGTATGACGGTCGCGGCGGTTTGTATGCGTCCAAACACTTTTTTCCGCTTTAGTTCAATCTCTCATTTCGTTGCTTAATTTGATTTTCTGCTGAAGATTTCTTTACGGAAATTGTAATTATATGAAAATTGTCGTCATAAGCTTGCTATACGCACAGTTTGAAGAAAAATACGAAGCCATTGTGTGTGCGTCTGTCCTCAGGATATATGTACATACTTGTTGTTTTTGTGCTCGGCAGACCCCCATACCTACTCCGTCAACAGCTTTGGCTAGCACCAGCTGGAGGTGAATTTTTTGTGTATAATTGAATGAGTGTTCTAATTAAGGATTTCGTGAGAGGAAAAATTTCTCACAACAAAAGTTGAGTCAAAAATCACAATAATAATTTGTGTCAAAAGTGCAACAAAAAAATAAGAAAATGCAAACTTAAAATAATCGCGGTTGCAAAGATGCGATAAGTGAAAAGTGTGAACAAGAAGTGTGTGAGTAAGAGTGAAAATAAAGAAAATATCAAAAAGATAAAATTCAGCACTGGGAGAAATGATTTCATCCCAAGCAAACATACGAAGCTGCAGTACCTTATCATGAAAAGATCCTGATCAGTTTCTTGAATGTTTTTTTTGAAGCAGACCTTGAAAAAGTGAGTCTTCAACCGTTATACCAGTACTTTCTAATTAATTTCGAGCTCTGCGCCAAGATACATACATATATATGCAGCAAAAATTATAGGAAACGCGTCTGTGAACAATAATTGGCATACCAATGAGTGGCGACAGAAAACAAAAAACGTGAAATTTTCGTATACATTTGCGCTAATAAAAAAATTTAATATTTCTACTTTACATTTCACAAAAGATAAATGTATGCTTCATATATTTTCGCTTCCTAAATTCGTAAAAATGTTTGTTTATATTCTACCAAAATCAATTACCTCTGCCAATGCTTTGTTCTTTTGCTTCTGTTATTTGTCATGTAGAACTGCATTTTGTACATACTCATCGTGTCGACTTCGGGCACACTCAACAGTCGCTGTGCTGTTGCGTTGAAGTCATCGTCAGTGTTGCCACATACAGCTTTTTTTCCTAACAAAACTTCTATTGTGGTAAACCCCAATTGTAATCACTCCAACGTAGGGATGTGTAGTGGTGGGTTGAAATTCGATTTTTTCCGAATTTAAAACATTCCCCAACCATTCGATTCGAAATTTCGTGGTGCAAATTCGATTTTATTCGAAGTTTCTCGAATGTAAAAAAAAAATTTACTAAAAATTTAAAAGTAAGAATGAATATACAAATCGAAAAAGAGATTCAGTTGAACTTATATTAATGTGATTAACTATTCATATCTCTTTTTTTTAGCTTCACATCGAAAAATAAATACAAATAAGTATTTTTTTTGCAAATAAATATCTCAAAAAAAAAAATTATCAAAACAATCCAAAAATTTAGCTTATGCAGCATTTTGAAACTAATTTTTTGGGACGTATAATTTCATTTATATTTATTTTTCTTACTTCAGAAAGACAAAAGAAATTTTTACATACTTCACGCTACATACTTATGCAATTATACGTATGTTTATACTCATGCAGCGAATAAAAAAGTTGTACATTTAATGACAACGTATTATTTTACTTTTTAAAGCGAGATCTTAAGTAAACAAGGAACAAAACAGTAATATGGTACGAAGAGTTCTATCGAGCCAGATTTTTGGTTTGTGCATAGCTAAACGGCTGGGATTTTTGACTTATGCCAAAAATTTTACTTCACATTTGATATCAGTGATGAAACACTGAATGTCAATCGCCTGACACCAAAATTTGACGACAGTCTTTGATATGCACTGCGATATCTGCATTTGGTCAGTTTTTATGATGTATGTATTTGACACCAAGTGAACAGCTGTTAATTAAGGCAGTTTTTGATGCCAGTAATTTTGACATAATGAAAACCAAGCGTTTTAAGATCATAAAGCATCTCAAAACTTATTTATTTTTTAGGAATTTATTTGTATAGCTGGGATGTGTAACTATTTAAATCAGTAAATACATTTCACTCTGAGTTAATACTTAGACATTTATGGTGACATGCAATAATGGCAATGGAATTAATGTCACTGATATTAATACACAATTGAAAAGTGAATTAATGTCAATGGCATTAATACACAGGCCACATTTTCGATGACATAAACACACTTTCATTTTGTGAATTTAGCTCTAAACAAAAAAATTTATTTATATATCATTGCATATTTCACTTTAAGGAGGGTGAATCAATTCCAAGGTGACTTAATGTCAATTGACATTATTTCACTTTTGGCCTGTGTATTAATGCCATAGCATTATTTCACTTTTGGCCTCTGTATTACTGTCATTGACATTATTGCACACCACCACATTTATCGAAGTTCAATTGTTCCATTTTCTTGTATATTTTTAATTCAATCGCTGCATCGAAAATATCATTTTTAAATACGATGCATCGATTGAACATTTCGTTGTATCAGATCGAAAAAACCTCGATGTATTTTATTGACTTGCATCCCTAAGGCGAATATGGTGCCACACACAATGATGCAAAAATTTAGTCCGAAAGAAGAAAGTTGCAGAGTTTTTTTTTGCAAATTAAGACGAAATTTGATTTTTTCTGGAAAAATTCGATTTTATCCGAATTATAGTGCCACAAAGTTCTATTTAAAAACTCGCCGTTTTGGAGCTGAAATTCGATTAAAATTCGAATCTCGAAGCTTCGAATATCGAATTTACCCATCCCTACTCGAACCTTAGGGTATTAAAAAATCGAAGCACTTTGGACGGTGCCATATTCCAAATTTGATATGGAGAAGACAATCGTTCTCCAAGGTGTATCAGTCTACGATTCACATTTCGTGGGCAGGCACGTAGAATAAACTCTGGGGTTGCCTACACCAGCCCACAAAACCTTAAGTCCGTCTGTACAGAAAGCCCTATTTGATTCAAAAGATACTTTAGATTGGCTTGGCTATTGATATTGGCTTTAGCCATTTGTCCTTCTACGTAGACAAAGACCTCCACCTGGAATATGGCTGGGTACCAGCCCTTTGGCAGACTTTTCTTGAATCTTGGTTCACGTACGCCATAAAATATACATATATGGATGTTCATGTTGTATATTGGCAATAATAAGGATATGCATTTGTACTTACGAATCAGAGGATCAATTTTCGTTCTGCGTTATTGCGAAGTGATAAAAACAACACTTTTACACCGCACTTATTTCGGTGTGAATTTTTGATTTTTCTCTTCACTTCACGATAACGCAGAATGGGAATTGACCCCCAGGTATGTTTTGCGGTCCCCGTTATACGAATGCGAAGGTGAAATATTTGTGTAAACAAGGTTGCTAAAATGTTTGGAGATACATATTTTATATTTTAATCACCTAACTATGTATTAATGCCACGGAACCTACCAAAATCCAATCTATCCCACCAATCTACCAAATGGAGGAAAGGGTATTTGTGGCAACACTGGTCATCGTGTTGCTCTGCAGCGTAAATACTGGATGTGTACGTTTCAGTGCCGTGGACGTCGACTGTGCTGCGCTGCTGCGTACCGTGTGAATCAGTGTTGCCAGAACTTTTTGGGCCGACCGGCTAGATTGGCAAAAAAAAGCTAAAATGTTTTAGTGAAATTTCACATAGACTCTGGCAAAAAACGGCTAAAATGTTTTAGTGAAAATTCACATGCTTTATTTAAATAAATCGCAAGAAACGAAAGACTAGTTAACACCATTAATTTATATCGCGTGTATATTCCTCATCATCAAAAGAATCACTATTGTATATATCACCTGAATTCATTAATTTTAAGAGATCGTCATCTACAGTAAAATTATGGCAGCATTTTTCTTCGCGTTTTAAACCGTATCTTATATATAAAATAGCGTTTAACGTTTTAACGCACATTGGATTTCTTTGCTTAGTTTTTATTATATTCATTGAACTAAATATTCGCTCTACTTCTGCATTACTTATAGGCAAAACAAGAAAACTAAAAACTAGGTTGCAAAGGTCAGCGAAAGGGTTTTCTCCTAGGGCATTTCGAAATTGATAAACTTCGGCCCAAAATTTTACAGTTGAGTCTAAATTACTCCAGGTATGTAACGTTAACCGTTGCCATTGCATCTCTATGGATGTTATTTCGTCGGCATTATATTTGTGTTTTTGTTGCTGTAGTTGAACAAATACTTTTGGTTTAATTAATCTTAATGCATTTCCAACTGAAAAAAGTCAATTTTTTTAGCGTGGCAATATTTGTATGGAGGCGTTGGCGTAATTCCTTTATTAAAGTGATAATAAAATAAATAATATAAAAAAAGCTTTTTAATATACAACGCTTTTATAAATGGACTAAAAAGTAGAAAATAATACTTCTCAGTCCCATAGAATTTGTTTTGATAACTTTTGATTTTGGAATTTTAGCAAAAGTCATTATAAACAATCTATGAAATTGAAAATGAAAAACGTGGAGCGCATGCAATACAAAGCATTCGATTTAATTGACAATAGTCAAACTACATAACGTAGACCTAAAATTTCTACAGCGAAAGTAGAACTTTGAAATCGATTTTAAGCGGTCGTTATTCATATACCCACATACATGCGCCCCACGCTTTTCATTTTCAATTTCATAGATTGTTTATAATGACTTTTGCTAAAATTTCAAAATCAAAAGTTATCAAAACAAATTCTATGGGACTGAGAAGTATTATTTTCTACTTTTTAGTCCATTTATAAAAGCGTTGTATATTAAAAAGTTTTTTTTATATTATTTATTTTCTACTTTTTAGTCCTGTCTGAATAAAATTTTGCAATAGACATTAAAATAATTCAACGATATTAATAGAAAGGTGCACACACATGCATTTACATATGTATGTACATACAAACGAGCACCAATTAATTTTATTTAAAGAAATGGCGTGTCGTCTATTTCCGCCGATATGCGTGTATAAACCCTCCTCAAAGTCTAGCCAAAAAGCCAGCAACTCACACAACAGGTTCCCCAGAGCAATTCGCTCGAGAAAGTGGTACCCGGTATACGTAATACGCGGCACACAGCACAACAATCCGCCAAAACAGGCAACCCGGCCCAAAATTACCACCGTAGAAGGCAGAAACCCCGAGCGGCAGTGCAGGAGCCCAAGAATTACCCTTAAAACGGCCACAGGAGCTTAAAAAGACAAACTGGTCCCCAACTGGGCTGAAGGTAAGTTGTTTCGGACTAGTCCCAAACTGGTTCCCAACTGATTCACGGACTGGTCGCCGACTGGTTACCAACTGGTCCCACGAACTAGTTTCCAACTGGTCCCAAAGTGGTTACCAACTGGTCCACCTATACCTCAAGTGGTCCACAAGTCACTTCACTT